TATATTAAAAAAAAAATTAAAAAAGCTGGCCTTTAAGTCTGAACCCTGAACTCTAGAAATGTATCTTTGATCACCTTTTACAGGAAGTCTTTCAACAAGGGCACTTATTGTCTCTCAGCTGTTGATAGCAAATATAGCTAAAATCCTTCTCAAAGATCACCAGGAAAGGTCATATCAGATAAGCTGAAATGAGATTTGTCATCATGAGAGATGACATTTTACTTTGCATAAACAAATTACAACTCTGGCTCCATAATCTACCCCTTCAGAAAAGGGGCTTTGTCTTAGCCACTGCCTCTGTTGGATGCTCTTCTGCGAGGCAGCAGATAGTCTTTAGTTAGGTAACACAGGAGGCTCTTTAGGATTTTACATGTCAAAACAGCTTAGATTCTCATACCCAGTAGCTAACTAAAGCAGATCCAGAAACCCTTGTGTCAAGGACTTTCAGAAAAGTGTCATCCTTAAGAGACAATCTGCTGATGTCTCCAACAGACTCTGTTTCTCCATAGCTGTAGGTAAACCTTCCTTCATTAGTTGGAAGGAGTTGACAGGAATGTAGACGATGCTTACAGAGACTACTATAATAGTGAAAGTGCCGTGTGTTGGTGACGTAGGCAACCAACCTTGTTCATTTAGAAGTAGCAGAACATGTGAAACTGAAGCAGTCAGAATAGACAGGTTATGGAAGTAACACAGCGGAAAGTTGAAAATAGAGGGAAAAGTTACTCTCAGGCCCTTCTAGCAGACCAGTTTAGAGCTGGGAGAAGAGATTCTTGTGCATGTTTTTTAAGGCAGTGATGGAGGAGAGAAAGGACATGAAAAATCATAGTATTGTTGGATTTTGTGTCAGAATATACATTTAGCTGCTTAAAAAATTAGTAGTTTCCAATATTTCTGTGCTCTTACACTTGTATGTGCTTATCTGGCATAGCATGATATCCAGTCAGTGAAAAAATGCCATTCTGTTTGTTATTTTTATAAGTTCATCTGAGATTAAGCTATGATTATATAAACTATGTAATCATTATCGATATGAATTCTATAAGATGTATTTTTTTAAATACATTACATGACGTTTTCTTCTTAATGTTTAAAAATAACAAGTGGCTTTTTTCTCCCCCCCCAACAGAAAAAACAGAAGAATATTTTGCGGATAGGAATTCAGAGTCTGGGTTCCATGTTGTGGGGTGATGACATTTGTAGCAGTGATACTCCGGAAGATGTTCATAGCCTTACAAAATTTCTGTATGTTCTCCGTGGCCTCCTCAGAAAATCTTTGTCAGCCTGCATCATCACAGTGCCTGCTCATCTTATCCAGGTAGGAGTGCTGTCTTTGCTATATTTCATAGCTGACACATCAGTTAGCAAAAATTTAAAGTTTATGGTAAGAACATAAATGCAATTTTGGACAGTTTGAAAACTCTTTTTGTTCAAAGGGCAAAGTTAAAACATGGCTTTGCTGTATTGCTTCAATACTTTTGTGGGACAGTCGTGCTGCATAATCTACAAAGATCTAAGCATAAAACCATTGTAGATGCCGTTATGCCTTATGTGGGTCGTAGTCCTTTTTGAAAAACTATCAAAATTGCAGAAACTGTAATAAAATAAAGAGAATCTTGCTAGCAATCTCTTCTTTTTTTTTTTTTTTTTTACAACATCCCTACAAACTTTTCCACTACCTTCAGAACACTGTTTAGAGTTACACTACAAGACATTTCAGTCCACTCTCTTCATCTGTCATGGATAGATTATGATGATGTGTGATATTGGTTTTAAAGCCAGGAATTTAAAGGTAACAGGTTTACTCTTTAATTCTAATATCCCCTTATATTGGGACCAAGAGTAAACCAGTTACGGTATCAAAGTAATTTTCCCAACTGCAAAATCAAAAGCTGCTAAAAGCACCTTTCCTGAGAGTATATGTCTGAGACTTAAATGTTTATCTTCTGGAAAAAAACTTTTTTAGCAAATGGAAAAATGTAGATAGTCTTTTTTTCTGCAAGTGGTAATGTAACTTTCAAAAGCAAAATTATTATTCACAATGAACAGAGAAGCTATAATTTTAGACATGAATTTGATTTGATCATAATAAAAAAGTACTGGATAAAACCTTGTATTATGCAAAATGTTTTCATAGTAGATGAGTTTATCGTTTGATTAAATCCTATCTTAGGTAAGTACATGACTCTTCACTTAGGTATTGCGTTTTGTAAAGGTGTTTGAATACCTGCAAATGTTATTAATCTAGATACCTGGTGCACTTACTGCTTTGAAAATAGAGAAACTTGATTTTCTAGTTTTACCATTGTAATCAAAACTGTATGAATATTCCTCTTGCAGTGAAAACCTCCATCTCCTTACTGAGCTATTTTTAAATATTAGACGGCAGTTTGTCTTCAAGAAGATTGACAGTAAAATTTAATGCAATGAATAGAATTTGTGAATGTAAAAGTAGCATCCTTCTTTTTGCACATTGAAATTGCCTGTCCACAATTGGGACATACAACTGATTCGTTGTACTCTTTTTGTATCTATTATGTCAATAAAAGGTATAATCATATTTTAAAGAAGAAGTCCAGAAGCATCTCTAAGAAACAAACTGAAGGACGAAGGGTTTTGTTTGTTGCAAACTAACCTGGGAAGTTGATTTTGATTTTGTGTTTATAAGTTCCATGTAAATCAATGCTCATGGACTTAGGATTGAAATTATACCTCATTTTCTAAATAACTGTTTTTTTTAATTTTGACAGAATTGTTTTACAGTACGTGCTAGAATATTCTGCGGGATTTTAAAAAAAAAAAAGGAAACATTATTTCCAGAATCTTTGCTTAGCAGCCTTAAACAGCAGCCTTTTTTTTTTTTTTTTAAATTGTTAAACTTCATGTATCCTTCTTTAAGCACTAAACTATGGAGAAAACTGTCATTAGGAGGAGCAAAGCTGCTGAGGGTTCCTTATACCCCACATTACTCAGTTCCCAGAGCCCTGCTGTGTAGTTGTTCCACTCTCCAAGAAGCCTGTTAAAGAGCCCCTGAGAGCATGTGTACAGCCCTCCATGTTAATAGTTAATTGGTGAGGATGGCAAGATGAGAGGACAGCCGAACATGTGGTCTCTCAGGCTCAAGCCGTAGACAGACCTTTAGTTATAATAACAGCAGCTGCTCACATTCTCACAACCCAGCTACTCACCATTCTGTTGCTGAGGTTTCTTGCTGGATTAAAAAAGTTAAAGAAAATACCTTTTCTTTCCAAGAGAATGAGAGAGAGGGATTTTTTTTTTTTCAAAGTGCATTTCTGTATATGTATTTAATTTGATCAGAGCAAGTGCTAGCATATGCTTTCTCAGTTGAATCTTAAAGTCAGTACACTGAAGGCAAAGAAAATGCACACTATTTTTCTGAAGATGTAGTAAATTCCACATTTATTCCCTGAATGACTGTTTCTATATTTTCTGTGTTATCTTTTCCCTCACAACTGTATTAATGGTCTGCAGGTAAACTGTTCACATGAATAATTTCCATGAAGGTAAATAGAAGTTCAGAATCGCATTTTAATCAAGGTTTTATCTGCATAACATATACAGAAAAATAGTTTCATTTTTTACCTGCTTTGTCTTGAAAAAATAGATTTTTAGTAGTGACTCATATCATATCTTGTCTCTGTCAGCCCCCACTACTAGTTACTCCAGTGAAGAAGAAATAAAACTCGCAATTGATAGTACTGATTTTCAACAGGGACGATGTCTTTCCAAGCCAGACTAGTTATATTTTTTATATTTAGTGTATGAATAATGCACATATACATATATGTAGTTTGAGATTGGTTTCTTTTATATATTTTGCCAAGTACTTGCATGTTTTACTGTGACAGGGAGTTCCACAACTTCAATCTACTTGGTTTCATTCTTTTTCAAAAAGTTTAATTTTGCCTTTACTTTTCATCAATTATATCTTTGTTCTTGGCTGATGAGACAATAAGATGAGGCTCCCTATTTTATCTTTTCTGTGTTCTGATTGTTTTGTATTTTTTTCATGCTGCCTTCTTAATCTGTTTTTAAACATTCACTTTTCTTTTAATCATATTTTATTTTGTTACAGTAACATAATGCAATAATGCTATTATTGTTCACTTTTCCTACATTCTAATGTCTGCTTTGTCTCTTTGATGACTACTGAACATTAAGCAGTGATTTTGTTCTTGATGCTTTTTCCTCTGTGGTACATATCCACCAATGTGGCTCTTTCATTATTCCAGCTATTCATTGTCTCGGATTTAATAACTTTGAATTGCATTTATCCAGAGATGATGCTCATTCACCCAGTTTGATGGGACACTGAATGTCTTCACAGTCTTCTGTAAGGCTATATTTTGGTAAAAGACACAAATATACAAAAAATCTGGTTGTGTACAGAGTTTTCTCAGAATAATTTAGAGAAATTGTAGTCCACTAAAGAACACAGATTCTTTGTGTTTTATTGATGAAACTTCTAGTGAAAAAAATGCATGAAGAAAAAAGAAAATTCTCTTTTCTCCACCAGAAAAATAGGAATACATTATTCTGGAAGAGGATTTCAAGAAAATGACACTAAAAACTTATCCAATTATGAATTTTATTCAGATGATGTGTGACAAGTTTTACTTGATTGATATTTTCTACCGATTGAACATACTCTTATCTTACACTGTCTGTCAGGTAATAAATATTGAGATACTTACGAGTATGATTAAAATAGTTGATGGAAGGTTATTTTTCAAGTCTTTCTACTGCTTCTTGAAAATGTATTGTGCGTAGGAAATCAGATGGTGCATTTGAAAAGGGAAAATTACTTCTGTTTTTTAAATCTAGCATTGATCAAGGAGGACAGACTGAAGAGGGATTTCATTTGATATTACACTTTCCAAACTTTAGGAATATTATAAAATCAAGAAAGAACTTTTTCTGTATGTTGATAATCCCTGCAGTTTAATACCTAAACAAAAAAACCCCAAACTTTTTGTGCTACAGAGTGTGTGACTTAAAGCAGTTTAATGTCACTATTTTATAATTGCAAAAGCCCTAAATTAGAATTTAAAATATTTTCCTATTGTGTTTTCTTCATTTTCTTTAATTACTAGAAATCATTGGTAAATCCAAAACCATCTTTCACCCAAATTACTAAATAATGTTCGTAATTCTGTTCCTGTTCTTCCCAATTTTGTATCACTTAAGTAATATTTTTTTAAGTAGATTATTTTCACTGGGAGAAAGCGTAATGCTTTTGTTAAAGCCATCCTTTATTTTGAACTTGAAGCTGTGTTACTAGTAAGGACTAACAACCATATTAGTCAGCATGTACCAAGGGAAATTAATTTACTAATGAAAAGTCAGTATGAATAAGTCTCGTTACAGAACCTGTCCTCAGAGTCTGAAGTTCTGTTTAGCAAGGTATTTTCATTATTTCATCCAGTATGTTAAAAAATTAATTTCCTACAATATTAATGTTTTGATGCTTTGAATTCACTGAAGTGCCTAAGTTACTGTATGTTTCAGTGTAGAAAAATTCAGAAACAAACCTTTTCACATCCATAGCCTTTTGTGTTCACACTGAGTAATTTAGCAGCTAAACTCGAAGTCAGGCAATAGAGTGCTTTAGAATCCATTGCTAATATAGGATTATAAGATGTGAACTCCTAGAGCTTGTGAATTTCTCACAGTTTGAAATCTTTATTCCTATGACAAGAGCTAAGAGTGATTGCCTGCCTTAGAACTCTAACTCCTGAGAGTTCACAAGTGTAAAATGCTGAATAACCTTCAAATGTATTTGATGATGTAGCTGCTGCACACAAATTTGTACTGAGATCAAATGTCATGTAGTTTCTATATCATAGTTAAGCAAGCTTTCAAAATGCTTGGCAAAATAGAAACTGTGAAGATTAAATGGTCTTTATATTTTTCTATATTGGGGGGTTTTTTTCTTACTTTTTAATGTTGTATGTTGCTTTTTGTTGTATGGGAGAAATACAGTTGAACAACCGTACAAAGAATTATTGAGAATCAAGAGTTTATGACAGGTATTCTTGGGTTATCCACATAGTTTTCAGATATGCATATTCTGGTTTGGATATGCTGGACATGCCTAAAAGCATCTTTAAAATTATGATCTAGTAGGAAGCTCAGAGAACAATTCACAATCAAATTAAATTGTGTGCCAGTAAGTTATTTTGTTTTCAATTTCTGTTATTGTTGATAGTATTTGCGAATCAAGTTGCAGTACAAATAGAAATATTTTGTTGTTTCATAAAATAAGTTTAGGGTTGCCAACAGGCTGTATTCTAGCTC